GAAAAAAAAAAAAAAAAAAAAAAAAAAAAGTGATCCCTAATGGGGATCTTCCCAAATGTCCTTTTGGTTCAAGCCCATAACTAGATTCTGTATAAACAGATAATTCCAGATTTCCTTAATGTTCTTTTCTTCTCTTCCTTGCAGATCATGAATTCATTTATAGAAACCAGAATGGCACTGTGATTCTGAGGAATGTTGAAACTAACAATTCAACAGTATTAATAGAAAACAAAAAAATTGTAAGTATTTTCTATGATGAGCAGAAGAATTTCGCAGTTTCTTTCAGCTGGATCAGTAAAGCAGAAAATGACTTAGGTTTCCACTTCTTGTATTGTCAAGCAGATGCCATGTGGTTGTAATACTATGAGCTAAGCAGCTACTGATAATGTGAAACTAAACTCAAATTTTCTTTGTTAATCTGTAAGGTCAATCCTTTCATACTACAAAAAGCACCGTATAAATATTTGAAGCAAGTCTTACATATCATATATAACTGAAAGATACCTGATTTGAGTCTTTGTACGCTAATAGAAAGACAGCTGTTACAATTTGGGGGCTTCTCTTACCATTCTCCACATTTCTCCATGTAAAGATTTATTTTTTTAACCTGTAGATTTGCTGATTTCACTTGCATACTGTTTGAAGTGTAATTTCAATGTTGTTAATGAATGGTGCTGATGAATAGAAGTGGGCTTAATGTGAGAAAAACCCCAAGACATTATTGGGAAAGATGTTAGGAGGTTGCTATTAAAATGAATTAAAAGAAAATAAATTCACAGCTGAGGCATAATAGTATTTATAATAATGAAAGTGTTTTGTAGCATTAGTTTTGAGAGCAGATGAAGGCAGCATTATGTCAGAAGTTAGTACATTAAATGTCAGACTGTGTTCAGCATCTCCGGTAAAAATGAATAGGTTATTAAAAGCTAATTCCTGAAGTAAAATACACTTATGTTTGCCCTAACAATGAAATATGCATCACATTGTCCTGACAAAATTGTTGCTTACACAGTGTCTGCCTAAGGTTTTGGTTAATTTGAGAATTCCTGGTTGTATAATATCATTGCAGAAGAACAAAGGCAGAGTAAAGCTAACATGGCTTATTTTAGTGATCCAAGATCTGCTTGTGAGCTTGACCTTATTTCAAAACACAAAAGTAAATTTACAAGAAAACCATAAAACAACATTCCCATTGCCTTTGTTCTGAATTAAAGCTGAGTCTATGATTCGTACAAAATTAGAACACAGTTTTTTTTTTTATTGAGACCAAGACATCATTGCTGAATTCTTGTTACTGGACCCAGTCTAAAACGCTGTATATTTCCATTTAACCTTCATGCTTTGCTACATCATGTAAGCAATCTCCTTCTACCTGAGCATAACCCCTTTCTTTACCACCTTGCTCTTTTGCTTTTTTCCCTTCTACCTGAGCATAACCCCTTTACCACCTTGCTCTTTTGCTTTTTTCACATTTGTGTTATCCAAAGGTCCACGGCTTAAAGTGTCTGTCTCACCCATTGGTGAGGGTAAACCTAACATTTCACTGGAAATGTTTCTCCAGTAGGGCCAGTGCAGATGAGTATCACAAAATATACTTTCCCTAGCTATAATTTTAGAATACTGTCTCTCGTTGTCTACTCAGGACCGGGGAGAAGTTTTCATACATTTTTTTTCCTTGTCAGTATAGTCCACTGGCTTGCATTAGCACCTGCTGATCCCCTTTTCCCTAGTTTTATGTAATGATCATTCTTTGATCTTTTGATCATTTTTTTCTCTATGGAGAAAGTTCTCACTATGCTACGAGTAAAGGAATAGACCGGATTCCTTTAATCTAAGGTCTACTGAATTTACTCTACTTATATTTGGCATTGTTTCAAGATCGCTGCTTATTTTCCTCCTTTTTAATTTTTGCCATTTATAAGAAAAGGACAGCGCTACAAGACAGTCCTACTTTCATGCTGCTTGTTTGGTCCTTGGTCCTCTGTCCTCTCAATAAATAATTCTGCAGAACATCACCTCCATTTTCATGGAAAAACTCCCCGTTTAAGAGCTTCTGTTGTACCTCATTTGGACACATTGCCTTTTGTTTTCATCTTTCCCAGCCCTGTGTCAGAATAACTTTTGCTACCTTGGCATGTTGTTCTTTCTCCAAGTTATTAATATATCAGTAAACAAAATCTGTCTTCATGCTGACACTGCTGGCTCTCACATTCCCCCTGGCACCCCTCCATCCTAAACCTCTTTCACTCTTCAATACCCTCTGTCTTTGGATAACCCATGTGATTCCTCATGCATCTCCTACAGTCTCGCTGACCTTGTGGAGGACTCTCTTTATTTGATGCTGTGCATTTCCCTGAAGCCCAAGTTCCCCCTTTCTCCTTGGTAATCTCTGAATGACTTCCATCTAACATGTTAGGGGAGAGGAAAAGATTGAAAAGGAATCAGGTGAACGGCGTGGGGGTGGGACCTCTCTTTGACCTTGATAATGTGTGTGCTGGCACTGTATATTAAAACACAGTGGAAAGGGGAAGGGACATCTGCGCTGTACAAATGACAAGCAGAGCAGGAAAATGATAATTCCTGACAAATCTGAGACACCTTGCAACCTCTTATTAATAAGAGATTGTTAATCTCTTATTAATAAAAAGCTGGTGCAGCTTTTTCGAGAGTCCAGATCAAGGTAGAACTGGAAAGCTGTATCACCACAGCATCCTCCAAATTTTATGGCTGTGGAAGATGGGCTAGGATTCCAGGCAGTCTTAATTGGGACAGACACTGACATCTCTTTTTATCAATAATTTGCTCTAGCAGGTATTGACTATGAGTTATCTTGGGTGCTTTGGCCAGTGACAGAGGGGAAGGAGACATAAATGAGAAAGCTGTCATCTATCATGAGCTACCACTACCTCTTACCCATAGCAGCCCTATTAGCCTCTGTTCAGTAAATTTATATTGGGAATTCTGATTTTTTTAGATAGCTGCCTGGCCTCGGTCACAATGCAGTTATATTTTCTCCTAAGGGACCACATTCTCACCCACATACCATTTCTATTTTTTGAAAATAGATGTGACATATTATTTTTGATGATATTTAGTCAGGCAGTATTCTTCATCTCTGTAAGAGTGGTCATAACAGTTGTTTTTAGATGTTAATTCCTTCAAAACTGAAAAAAAAAAGCCCTATCAACATATAATCTTTTTTCGTTTCTTTCCTAGGTCTCCTTAAAAGCTCTTCGATATGAAGTTTCACCTGACCGGGAATATGCCCTTTTTGCATTTAATGTTGAACCAGTAAGTAAATAGATTTGATTGAAAATATACAGGCAGTGGTGGACTATTTTTCTCTCTCACCCCCCCCTTTTTTTTTTTTTCTTTTATGGCATAAGCAATATTTTCAATTAATTGATTCTTATGAAAGAAAAGAGAAAACTCTCACTTGGATATTCTGAAAGCATGTCATACTGCCATCTAGTAGAGGAGAAAGGTATAAATTACACTGTAGAGGAAACACTGTCATTGCCAGAGTTTTATAGGCTTGGGGAGGAGAAATGTAAGGGCATGTCTTTGCTACAAGGATTTCTGTTCCTCTTTTGAGTAATTTTTTTCATGGTGCCTTTTTCAGTCGCACCATAAATTTCTTTGCAAGAACAAAAAGCAACTATCAGTGTCACCCATAACTGAAATAATACATTAATTATGGTGTTACCATTCCCAGTGCTGCAGTTAGGGTTGAGCTATCACTTTCATTATAAATCCTTTTCTTCAGAGGTTTGGGTATTAATCATCCACAAGAAATCACCATTGGGCTACTACTAAGTTTCAGGTTATCACTATTTTTTTCTACCAAACTTTAAAAAAGTGTAATGAGTCATTTTTAAATGGTGACTAAAGAGCAGTCAGATACATGAGAACATGGGATGAAGTTCTTAAGCATGAATAGTATTTATTTCCTTTTTAAATTCTGCTGGTATATGACTCAAAATATTTGAAATATGGCTATGTACTACTACTTCATTAAATTGTGTCTCATACATTTTGTTTCTATAATTTATAATTGCACCGATTCCTCAAAAGGCAACTAGCAACTACTAGCAATTACTAGCAACTGTGACTCTTTATTTTGTTTTTTTCATATAATTTAGTTTGTGCTGCTAACCAAGGGAAATTTGTTGGTCTTTGAGGTAGTAGAGGTTGTGACTCTGCTGTTCCCCTTTTCATTTCTCTGTTGTCATCTTTGGAGTTATTCCTGACTCACAGATGTATAGAAAGTCAGGAGAACCATGGCTGGTGTTAGAGAAAGGTCAAACAAAACTGTATCAAAAATTTTAGGAGAAATTCATGTTTGCTGAGAAATTGTTGCTGATGCCATTTCACTGGTCCAAAGCTCATCAGAGTTCTAAACAGAGTTGTATGAGGAAATTTTAAGTTAAATCTAAATATGAGGAAAAACTGCCTATTTACCACCAAGCAAGCCAACCTTTACCCTGAAGGTACTTTGCTCTGTTCATCAGTGGTGTTTGATAAAAATCACTTCTTTTAGTGGAGCTTGGACTTGGGCTGCTCAGGTGCCAACACTGTGCCCAGATGAATGGTGCAAGATAGAAGAGCACTAAGGGAAAAGAACTTCTTGAACTCCTCCAGGAATGAGAGAAGAATTTTCATTCCTAAAAAGCAGTTATAATGAAAACAAAATCTCCTCTATAGCCTTAGCCTTTCTCCACTAATAGAGCTGTACGATCTCAGAACCGCCAAAGCTGGATGGTACAGGGGCTTTGGCACCTCACACATCACATTCAACATGCAGAAAAATGCTTGTCTTGGGCAAGGAGGAGGAGGAGAGGGCACGGAGAGGGATGAGCAGGACACGCTTCTTCCGCACATCTCAGTTCTTGCAGGTCTCTGGGAGGCTCTTCACAGACTCCAAAGCAGTTGCTTGGCTTTAGGGCTGGGATTTTGGGAAAAAATCTGTTTGTGGTGCTGAAGATTCATGCCTGGAGAAGCAGAGGGCACCAGGAACTCCCTTCTTGACATCATGTGCTGCTCCAGAAAGGAGAACTCAAGCTAATACACAGGAATTCTAGTCTTTGGAGAGATTTCCAAATGTGCCTAGGTGCATATTTGGTCTAAGAGAACTTAGCTAAGTAATTGTAAATTGTTCAAGTATTCGCATTTGAGGTTACAATAGCAAGAACTCCTGAAACATTTTTCAGAAGTACAACCAAACAACCGGCCTCCCCCTTTTTCTTAAAGAATTGCACTTACTTATAAAGGCTATGAAAAAGCTTTTTTTTTCCTTTCTTTTCTCCAAACAGGCATATTAATAGGGAGTGTAAGTTTCACTCTTGAATATTGTATCCTTGAGCCATGTTTTGTGGCTTTTAGTTTATTAAAGTTGCAATAACTTTAAATTACTTATTCAGCTTTCTTGCCACTTTGTATGCAGACTGTGGCTACAAGTAATTGCACATGTTTGTTAGCTTCTCACATTTTCTGTATTTCAAACTATGTTCTTGGATAAAAGTCAAACTGTGCTGTTTTCTTCAATGCAAGAAATTGATAAGCCAAACCCTGGGCAGTTGTCCTTGTTGCAAAGTCAAAAGAGAATTTCAGGAAATATCGTGGCAGAGTATGTTTTCTTAAATTCTAATTCTGCAAATCCTTACACCTATTGAAACTGTTGTGTACTTAGTTTATATATGTCAAAAGCAAATGCTATATGTTAACTTTTACCTTAAAAATTTAGCTTTATATTTTATTTTTACTTTTAAATGTTTGTGAGTATATGCTTCTGTTATTTTTATACAGTACACGTGCTGTATTTGTATGAGTGTATGTCTTCATATGCAACAAATGAATTAGTAGTTATCTGAATTCCGATAAAAATGCATTCAGCCTCTATTTTTAATTCCAGCTTGGAACAAGAATCAAAATAGACAAGCATAGTGTGTTATTACAATGAGGTAAAGCATTTTAAGAAAAGCACTGCAAAGTCATTTTCTGCCAGTAATAGCTTTACTTCTAACATGTTTCTATTTATTTGCAAAGAATTTCTGCTCAGTGTTGGTTCTGGTTAATGGCACTGACACCAGCATTGGAATAGCATAACTCTGAACTGACAAACACACATTTTGCTAAGATATTGAAGCAACTAATGTGTGTTTTGCTGTTATATGACTTCATCATCTTAGAGGATGGTGAATTAAAGTGTTTCCTGCAATCCATTTCTCCTAGAAAGCATGGCAGGCAGTGGTGGGACTGTTGTCTGAATATTGTAGCTAGTCAGGCTGTCGGTTTTCATTCTATACTTATCTTTGTACTGCTTATATTTGCCAAGCCTTAATTTCTCAGGTACCATATTCTGCCTAAGCTTTGTGCTCGTAGGGATTTTTTCCCAGCTCCTCAGGACCCATGTGCTGCGGCCCTGGCTGAGCTGAACTGATCTGAGCCAGCCACACTTGGGTGGATTTGGGCTTGAATCACATTGCTGAACCTCTACAGTCTCATAGGAGGGATCTCGTAAATAGGAATAGCAACAGGCAACCTGCAAAAACACTGTAGCAAATATGTCATTTGGAGAGCGATGGGATTAGAAAAACAAGAATTAGCCAGAGCCCCATAGGCTCATATAAATTTTTGTGGGAGTCTGAGTTAAACAGTGCAGTTGCTGTAATTGGTAATAAAAGAGAGGAAAGAAAATGAGAAGAAAAGTGATTTTCTTGAGTGACATGGTGAGAGATTAAATAGAGACTATTTAATTGCCTTTATTATGAATAGCTGTCATTGTAATGCAGCAGTAAAGAAAAAAAAAGTCCCAGATTCTTCTTAAAGCCATTTGTTTGTCGCTTGCAATTTACCAGTCCATCACTGTGTGTGAGCTAGTTAAGAGCAATTACATATAGGAAACCCAGGCTGATTAACATGGACCAAAATGCTGAAGCCTTCTGAACAGGAATTAGGGCTTAGGAACTTTTAGGGCGGATACGACAGACATTATTATCTATTTTGCAGTTAAAGGAACACATTTTTATTCTGCTAAAGACTGCAAAGAATTAATCATCATCATAACTGGAGCAAGTCCAGCTTTTTTTTTTTTTTTTTTTTTTTTTTTTTTTTTTTTTTTTTGAATAGTTATGTGGCAAGTTGAGTATTTCTTTTTGGCCTATCTGTTGCCATAGATCTCCCAATCATTTGGAAACTCTCACGGCTGCTGGGCTTAGGTTGTTGCTTAAGATGATGAGATTGTGAGTTTGATTTTGGCCTTGACGATAGCCTGAGCTAGAAGCTGAAAGTCTACTGGGGGCTTAAGCAACAACTGAGCAGTTGTTTCATGAACCAGGTCTCTGCTTGGGGTAAGGAAACCACGTTCCCATTACACAAGAATATCTGAAGGATGAGAGAAGAGCAAAGGATCCGAGGGTAATGGTACCAAAAGAGACCTCAGAAAGACCCAGTTCAATCACTCGACTTTGTATTTAGAGCATGGATGAAATGGAAAGCAATATTTATAGAACACAGATGATGATGATTATTATTACTTGCTTTTACTATTTGTCTAAGTCTAGTTGCTACGTTGAATAAATGGGTTTTGGGCTTGTAACTCCAATTATAACCCCATACTGCCTTAATTAGTCATGTAAAAATTAAAATAATATAATACTTGTAATCTCCAAAACAGTAATGAATATAAATATTCATGAATCCACACAACGTCCTTCTGAGTTAGGTGAGCACTATTATTATGATAAATACGCCACTGAAAATTAGGCACTGTCATAGCTCTCATCAGTAACACTGCTAATATTGTAGCTATGATATTTATTGCTTAATTGAAATAGATTTACCAGTACTAAAAATAGATTTCCATAAACCTGTTTTCTTTCTGTGGCAATAACTATATTTCAAATTTATATTTTTAATTTCCTCCCAGTGTTGTATCCAGGACCAATAAGAATGCAGGGTGATGACACTCTATAAAGGGAGCACAGTTAAAATATCTAGCTCATAAAATCAAGTTATTTTTTAGCAATTTGTTTTAATCTTTGGTATAGCAGGGAATTTGCTGTAAACAGGTAGAATTTCCTAGCAAAATGAGAATTTTAAAGGGAAAAGCTTTTTATTTTCATTCCCATTTGTTAATACAGATGCAGAATGGAATCATTGTCAGTCACAAGCCACATGTATTCCCCCTCCACTGTAGAGCTGTAAAATATAAGAGGCATGTTGACTGTTATCAAAGGCTATCTTCTAAAAACATTTTTTTTAATTATTGACATTTTCAAACCACCGTAACT